AAAATACACATATTATAATCTAGACAATTCAGGGCAAGTTAAAGAAGCTGTTTAAACACCAACAAAATATCTTAGATCTTGTGTTAACTGGAATCTTGTTTAAATGATACTCAGGGCCAGAATATAATGCATAGTATCAAGTGAGCATGGTTTAAAAGTACTAAGTGAAAGGTGGGGGTTTCAAAATGTGGGGAAATGGAATCAAATATAATTAATTTTTTTCTATGAACTCTTTGAAGTTGTTTAGGAATTAGCTATGGCTATTTAACATGTAACTTCATAAACCAGTGACTTAGAACAGCTACCATTTTATTCCTCATAATTCTCTGTGTTCATATGATTCATTGGGTTGGCTGGTAGGTAAGCTGGATTCTGAACTCAGGTTGGGTGCTTGGGATGGATAAGCTTCACTTTTCATATGAACTTTTATTATTAGGGAGGCTACACCAGTTTTTTTCATATGCAGTCTCAAGGTTGTTGCTGTTGTTGTTATGTGCAATGGAGTTGGTTCTGACTCATAGCGACCCTGTACAGGGTTCCCGAGGCTGTAAATCTTTACGACGTGAGCAGAAAGCCTCATCTTTCTCCCGTGGAACAGCTGGTAGTTTGGAACTGCTGACCTTGTGGTTCGTAGCCCAATTCATAACCACGACGCTACCAGAACTCCTTAGTCTCAAGGTAGTGTTCCAATAAAAAGGAAGAGGAAGATGTATGATTCTTACAGGTTTAGCTTCATACGTCATACATTGTAACTTTTGTCACATTCTCCTGGTCAAAGAAAGTACATGACTAATCCATATTCAAAGGATGTGAAAAGAGATTCCACCATTTTATAGAAAGAGCTGAAAAGACCCATTGCAATAGGACACAGAGGACACAGACATAGGAACATTTTTGCTTGGGGACAATTATTTTAACAGTCTTACACACAAAGCAAGACTGAAACACTATCTTTTGAAAGGTAAAGTCCATTATCTTTTCAATTTCATGCTGAAATATAAAATATATTAGTTTGAGAGTCTCATACATCATGGAAACTGCTTTTATGACATTTTAATGAAACTAGCACGCTTTCCTCTTTTAATAACACAACAAGAACTTCACTGATATGTTGTAAAGTCAGCTTTAAAAGAACACAGACACCACTAAAAAGAATTTTAACAGGTGTCATAAATGAGGAATACTAAAACTAACTGTGGCATTGTAGGATAAGCATTGGTCTTCTGGTCACAAGGTCAGCAGTTCAAACCCACCAGGTGCCCCTTGAAATCCCTATACGGAATCACTGTGAGTCAGAACTGACTCAAAGGCACTTTAACAACAAGAACAAGAGAAACTGCTGGGACAGAATTTTAAATAATCCATTCATTCCAATGCACGTATCAAAATAATGACAAAATAAGAATTTGAAAGAACCAATGCAATAGTCTCTGTAATTTTACTTTGAAAACATAAACTAGTTCAGTGAGTTTGCACTATGGTTGGATTTCTATAGAAGAGAAAAAGAACTAATGTGTATTCTGAATTTTAGTTATGATAAATTCAAACTTACAAACTATCTTCTCAAACACTATGTAATTTTAAAGAATCAGATCCAACACACATATATTAAATACCTAATATATTACAGACAATATTTATTTAATGCTTATTGCTAACCTTAACCAATAGAAGTAAGACCTTGTATATGTTATGAACATTTAATAGGTAAAGAAACGAGCATTTAGGTTACTAGGGTTCATCACTGGAAATTGCAATTTCACTGATGAAAACTCAAATCTAAGTTCATATTTTCAGGATATTTTCTAGTGCTCATATCAGTACTGACTCCCTAAGTAAATTTTTCATTGCTAGTCATGATCAGGTATGATGAAAGGTTGCAAAAAATTTCTTTTTCTAAATATCAAAATAAGGAATTATTTTCTTTACGAATATCTTATAGATGAATAATTTAGATTTGTTGCTGTTAAGTGCTGTTGAGTCAATTCTGACCCAAGTAGCAGCTCGTGAGCTTGAACCACCGACCTTGCAGTTCAAACGATTTTGCAGTCTGATATGACACATTAGCCCACAGCACCACACCAGTACTCCAGTTCACATTTACTGCATGCTAATTATAAATGAAATAGAAAGCAGGTGGAGTACTTTAAATACATATTGTTGTCTTTAAGTGCTGGTGAGTTAGTTCTGATTCATAACAATCCTGTATACATACTTTCATTTAATGTCACAAAGTTGTCTACAAAGGAAATACTGTTGCTTTTAATTTTCAGTTGAAGTAACAGGTTAACTTAACTCACTTCCAATGAGTCAATTATAACTCATAGTGACCCTACAAGATAAAGGAGAATTGTTTCTTTGGGTTTCCAAGACTACATTTTTATGGGAGCAGAGAGCCTCATCCTTATTTCAACAGGTGACTGGTGGGTTCAAAACAATGACCTGGGAGTTAGTAGCCTAATGCTTTAACCCAATGTGCCAGCAGAGCTTAGATGCACACATTTATTATGGAGATACTCATCATTTATTAAATAAGTTTTCCAAAGTCTCACAGTTAGCATATAGTAAAATTGGGACTTGTATCTATTTTTGGTGGAATACCAAAAGCTGATCTTTTCAGACTGCTTTTTGTCCCACTTTTACAAGTATTGTTTCTTACCTTTGCAATAAAAAAATCTTTGAAAATGGTAGCATCATCCATGTTTCTAAGGATTTCTGGTGGCCTAATGGTTAACTGCTTGGTTCCTAACCAAAACGTCTGTGGTTTGAACCCATCAGTCATTCCTAGGTTGACAAGACCTAGCGATCATCTCCCATAAAGATTAGAGCAGAAAACCTTATGGGGCATTCTAGTTTGTCATAAAGGCTCACTATGAGTCAGAATCAACTAGATGGTCCCATATTTATAGTTGAGAACATTAAGGTCAAAGGTTAACCAAATGCCATGTTTTCTCAAATAGAGGATAAATACCTTTAGAGCAAAAACCATACCATATCCAATTTACTGTTTCATGCCATTCATCTCCCACATTGCTCATAAAGCTAGGGCTAACACATATACTATGGAGTCCTGGTGTAGCACTGTGGGTAAATGCACTGGATTGAAAGATTGGTTTGAACCAGAAGGTTGGTGGTTCAAGCTTTCCAGCCATTCCTTAGAAACTCTATACAGGGTCACTGTGAGTCAAAACCAACTTGATGGCACTTAACAACAACACTTAATAACAACAAGGAGTCCTGGCATGGTGCTATGGGTTAATGTGTCAGACTGCAAAGCTGTTTGAACTACAAGGTCAGCAGTTCAAGCTCACCAGCTGCTCCTTGGAAACCCTATATAGGGTCGCTGTGGGTTGCAACTGATTCAACTGCACTTAACAACAACAATAATGCATATATTAGCCATTTAATAAATGTTTATTAGAGAACATTCAAAAGCATGCTAAAATCAAATGAACCTGGAGGTAATGTTTTTAACAAAACCAGAAAGAAATGTCCATTTTAAAGGGGACTAAAATAGAAGTAAAATCTAAGGAAGTATTTCCCTACTCCAACTAGGAAATGTTAAAATAACCAAAGAGTTTGAGGGGAGAAAAAGAATCTCTGGGATAAATACTTTACAGATCTTCTAATGAAATACTAATATTCTGCCAGAGCAGAGAACCACTGATTTAAGCTGTTTGCTATTTTTTGAGTGGGGAGGGGACTACATCATTAGTGGAAAGGCTAGCAGCTATAAAACAATAAATTAAATAACGATCATTTCTTTTCTGTAGTTTGAAATTTCTCAGTGTTTTCTACTTTCCACTTAAACATAATACTCTAAAAGTAAGCATTTAAAATACATGAGTGTACCTTCTGAAAGAAATATTTTTTTGCTGACACATAACTAAGATAATTCGATCTTAATGACTTAACACTTTAGATTACTAAAACAAAATGCCACATTAGAAACAAGGTTGTTGTACTTTAAACGAAATATACAAAAAGTACTCTGAATCAAAATTCTTTCTTTTCTCCTACGGAAGCATTTAGGAACAAAATCAACCACTATTTTATTCAATTTCCTAACAGATCAAAGTAAAATCTCATATGATCAATTATCTTAAAAGCAGTGTTTCCAAGAAAAAACAAAAACTCACATGTATTATTGTCTGGAATTGTTTAAAAATCTATTGCCAATAAAATACATCTGAGAACATTTTTACATATTAGTCTATTGTATAGTAATCTTATACACGTGATTAATATTACATGTTGTTGTTGTTGTTGTTATGTGCCGTGGAGTCGGTTCAGACTCACAGCGACCCTGTACAAGGTTTCCAAGACTGTAAATCTTTAGAACAGCTGGTAGTTTCGAACTGCTGACCTTAAGGTTCACAGCCCAATTCATAACCACTACGCTACCAGAGCTCCTTTAATAGCATATAGGGAAGTACTATCTTTCTAAGGAGCTCTGGTAGTGTAATGGTTACGAATGGGGCTACTAATCTCACGGTCAGCAGTTTAAAACTACCAGCCATTCTGGAGGAGAAAGATAAGGCTTTCTTCTCCCGTAAAGATTTACAGCCTCGGAAACCCTGTACAGGTCACTATGAGTCAGAACCGACTCCACGGCACATAACAACAACAACAAATATATTTATACATAGAAATATTTCTATGTATAAATTTAAGAACTGGTATTTAAAGCTTGTGTCAGTAGTATGTACAAATTTTATCACTCTTTAGGCTTATTTAGATACCCAGTAATTTCAGCTGTTAAAATCATCAAATTAGAATTAAAGACATGAAGAAAACTCAATCTCCAAACGTTATCTTGCTACATATTAAAAGTGAAAAACAAAAAGTCCTCACAACAAATAGATGATAAGAAGGAAGTCCTTTCTTGTCCTGTATCATCATGGATATACTATTTCTCCAGTAACTTCAGAGAGATGAAACTTTCAATCACAAAGGGAGTGTAAGAAAATTCAAAGGATCTCATTCCAGACTAAACTTACCAACAAATTTGATATGGAATTTATTTTCAGGCTTTAATATCTGGACATATAAAGGGCAATTTGGAGCAAAATCTTTCACAGCCCATGCTCTCAAAATTGTTTGATGATCCTGAAATGACAAAAATCAAAATACCATGAAATAAACGGAGAGGTTTATAATGCAAAATGTAAAAAATCAAGTCACCAGTTTGTTAAATGCTCACATTCATGGTTTAGAATTAATCCTACAAAACAATTAATTGTGAGGGATTTTCTTTAGGAATTTCTTTTTTCCTATAAGAGAGTAACTTAAAAACCTAATTCAATCAAGAATAGGTACCAGCACTTAGAAAATGAGCTGAAATTAGGAATGGGATGGCTGTTGTTATTAGTTGTTTTCCAGCTAATCCTAGTAGGTCAAAAGCCTTCAGGAAAACTGCACAATTAATATTTTGTAATGGCAGTTTTCATGGAGAAAAAGAAAATATGGGGCTATAATTTTAAATATGCTAGAAGAATCAAAGTTTCCACAACATAACACAACATCCAGGAAACTACAAAATTAGTATGTGATATGCTAGAAACAAATGACCTATTTTCAAGAGGTAAAAACAAAACCACCAACAGACACTAGCCTCTAGATAATATGGATGTTCGAATGATCAGACAATGCTATAGAGCAGATACTAGAACTATGAGTGATGGGGGAAAGGAAAACAGGCTCCTAACAAGTACAAAGAAGAAAGTATCAGCACAGTAATAGAAATGGATGCCATTCCACTGGGTGTTGTTGGATATTCTTATCCCAAAGTAGACTCATCTTCTGGCTGGCAATTCGATCTTTTCTAAGATAAATATACAACCACATGCCAAATGCCCCACTACTCCCTGTTCCTTGACCCAACATTTAGTTCTCAAATTTTCTAAGTATCTAACATGTCCACTGCCACAAGGTGAGTCCAAATAACTGTCACTTCTGCCTTACAGCAAGAGCAGCAGCTTCCAAGTCACATTTTCTACCTCAACATTTACATTCTCTCAATCTAAGTGCTTGTATCAGATTGTATTAGCCTTTTGAGCTAAGATCTCATTGCAGCACTCCTCTGAATGAAATCTGTCAATACATTCCATTACTTTTAGGATCAAGTCTAAAACTTTGCAAACAAGGTTTGCAATATCCTCTATTGAACTGTTCCCAAACTACCTCATCAACCTTTGTACTCTCTATTTTCCTGCCAAAATGAACATTCTCCTATCCCAAGCCTCTAGGGCTTTTGATATGGAACCTATAATCTAGATTTTTTTTTTTTTGCTAAATCTTACTCATACAACAAAACTCTGGGGAAAATCCCAAACTCTAGGAAGCTTTTTCATCTAACTGCCTTTAAGCTAGGGTAAAGATCCATGCTACTTGCTCTCACTGTATTCTGTAATTTATTCATCATAGTGTTGTCACTGAATCACCTGGATCTATGATTACCACATTCACAACGGAATGAAAGACTGCTTCGTCCTGAGCCATCCTCCAGATTGGTTGCAGACTGAACCACTATAATCCACAGAGTTTTCATTGGCTGGTTTTTAGAAGTAGAAGCTTCACTGCAACCTGCTCAGCATCATAGCAACACACAAACCTTCACTGACAGATGGGTAGTGATGGCTGCATAGGAGATGCAGTGGTTGATAACTAAACTCAGATTTCAACCATGAAAAGCTGAGAAATGTACTACTGAATCTCCACTACCCACTATCTAGTATGCTATTTAACATGAGGGGCTTTCTTCTAGTCTCCTATAAAATGTAAGCTCTATGAAGGCAAAGGCTATGTTTACTTTATACTCAATCTAGCTCATCCCTACCATTTAGTATAAAATAAAACAATATGTAAAGTACTACAGGGAGTGCAATGGTTTTATAGCATAAGCACTGGACTGTATAACACAAAGCCTGTGGTTCAAGCCCACCAGTTGCTGAGAAAGGGACAGATGAGGCTTTCTGCTCACACAAAGACTTGTAGCATTGAAAACCTATACAGGGTCAGTATGAGTTGGAACTTAAAAGCACTTAACAACAATGACCTAAGAGTCCTAGGTGTAGGATCAGCCCTGATAACCACATTTTGGCAGTTCAAATCTACCAGCTGCTCTTAGAAACCCAATATACAGTCACTATAAATCAGAACCAACTCGATGGCACACACAATGACAAAAACACTAGGTACACAGAAACTATTCCGTAACTATTTCAACTTAGTGAAGGATAGATGGTATGAAGAACTTATCCCAAAGGTTCACAGATCTTCCATCTGCTATACATACATAGTGTCCTTGTATAGCAGGCATCATCTTTCCCAAGGATAGAGCATTAAGTGAGGAAAAAGGTTGCAAGGTAGCAGTATTCTACGGTACAAATAGCAGAACGAATATAGAAAACAAATACTTTACTAATAGAGAAAATACAATTGGCAAAGAAATAAGATCTTCAATTCAATCTTCTCAAAGCAGAAGATGAGAAAAAAAATTTTTTTTGGGGGGGGAGCTGTTATCTATTTGTTTATTTTACTTTCTTTGCTAAAAACTTCAGCCTTAAATTAGATGTCTTACATTATATTCTACCTAAAATGCATTATCATTGATTGTGACAAAAGTGGAATAAACAAACTGTCATAACAAAGGCAGGTAGCACAGTGCCTTCGCAGGTCATTTGGGCATCTTGCTATTGAAAGAATAGAACACCTCAGTTCAAGTCAGCTTGCTTCAAACTCAAATCAGTTAAGAACATCTCCATAAAATTCAACTTTTAAAAACGTTGTTACTGTTGTTGTTGTTGTTAAGTGTTGTAGAGTGGGTTCCAACTCATAGTGACCCTATATAGTGTTTCCACGAAGTAGCTGGTGAATTTGAACTGCTGACTTTGTGGTTCAAAGTAACTTTGCAGTCCAGTGCATTATCCTGCATTGCCATACCAGGGCTCCATTCCTAAAATTGTATCTAAAAAAATGTTTTTCCACATTTACAAGAGTCAAAGTAAATTGGTTTGCCTAAGACAGTAGTTGCTTTTATAACACTAAAAGACCCATGGACTATCTGATGCCTTTTAGGCCAACTATTATTATGTATACTTTCCTTCCTGCATAAAATTCGTAGTTTTCATTATGATTGATAAATAGACTCAAATGTAGTCTATGAAACAAAATAAAACAAAAAAACAGCAAAACATTTGCCTAATGAAAGGTTATTCCAAGCCAATTTTTAAAATATAAAACACATTTGCAAAGCAAACAATTAATCCAAAGGACTAATGGACAATGTGAACTTCAGGTTCCATTACCAGGAGAACAGGGTTGGATGGTGCCAGCTACCACTGCTGACCTCTCTGAAATGGATTACAATTGCAGCTAAGTGTTGCAAATGTATATTCTTTAACTATTTATTTTCAATTAGGTGAATGTTTATAGAATAAATTGGGTCTCCACTGAATTTCATATACATATTGATTAGTGACATTGATTGCAATATCCACTTCCTCCCAGTGTTTACCATTTCCATTCACCCTTATTTCTTATCTCTCCCAGCCTTCTAAGCTTTATCCGTGGAAAAATGCTGCCTTTTTTTCTCTCATATTGTTTATTGTGCTAAGGTGTGTATACTTCACTGATGTTATTTTTCACCTTGTTGACCTGTCTATTGTTTGAAAATTGAGTCACAGTGATATATTCAGTTTCAGGCCTAAAGCGGATCTCAAGAAAACAGTCTCAGGGATTTCACAAGTCTCTACCCAATGTGTAAACCTGGTCTTTATTTGTTGTTGTTGTTGTTGTGTGCCGTGTAGTTGGTTCCGACTCATAGCGACCCTACACAGGGTTTCCGAGGCTGTAAATCTTTACTGGAGCAGACCGCCTCATCTTTCTCCCACAGAACCGCTGGTAGTTTCGAACGGCTGACCTTGTGGCTCATAGCCCGATTCGTAACCACTATGCTACCAGAGCTCCTTCTGGTCTTTATTATGATTTTGAATTTTGTTCCACATTTGTTTCCAACTTTATCCAGTAGTTTTTAATGCGACCCCTTTCAGAGCAGTTGGTAGTACTTGGTACAAGTAACATGGTACCATCTAATTCTTCATTCAGGTCACAGGTTCATGGAGACTGATGCTCATGTGATCCATTAGTCTACTGGCCTAATTGGGAAACTTCCTATTTTAACGTTACTTATGCAGGAGTACTAGTATAGTGATATGGTAAGCAATGGATTGCTAAGAACAAGATCAACAATTCAAATCCACCAGTCACTCCTTGGAAACCTATACAAGGTTGCTATGAGTTGCAATTCACTAGACAGCACTTTATAACAACAACAGCAATGTAGGATAAGTGCTGGACTGGTAACCACAAGGTCGGCAGTTCAAAGCCACCAGCTGCTCTAGGGAACCCTACATAGGGTCACTATGAGTTGGAACTAACTTGATGACATAGTAATAACAACAATTTATAAACTAAATCTGACTTATGAAATTTATCACAGTTGTACAACAGAGTAAAAAGTCTCATGGGAAACTGCAGAACAAAATTTTCCTAGAAACTTTTAGATGTATTGTTTTGTAAACAGTTTTTGTCAAATTTAAATGCAGAAAACAATTTCTCCAGAGAGGTTCCCATGATGACTTTCTGCTAGAATATACCAAAAAGTACCTTGAAGATAAGATCTATTTTGTTTACAATTGTATTGATTCGATTTAATAGGTAGATTGAATACTGTTAAGGTTAGGTTAACCCTCTGGTATCCAATCAATTCTAACTCACAGTGACGCTACAGGACACTGTAGAACTGCTCTATAGGGTTTCCATGGTAACAAATCTTTATAGGATCACACTGTCCCTCTTTCTCCTGAGGAGCGACTGCTAGATTCGAATCTCCAATTGTTTCGTTAACAACACAACGCTTAACACACTATGACAATAGTTCTCCTATATAATGTTAGGTTACATGCATGACTAGCTAATAATACCAACAAATAATTCTAATGCATAGGATCCATAAGATTTATCATCTATAATTAATTGGTCTGAATTTATGACTACATTTTGAAACAGAATGTTGTTGCTAGGTGCCCTCAAGTCAACTCCAGCTC